CCATGGGACAATTAGTCTTTTATTAAATGCTTATTTTCTAAGACTTAGGTTTATGCTTTCCCGTGTTTTCCTTAGCCATTTTTTCTCTATTAATAAACTTTGCTATTAACAATGGCTGTTCTTCCAGTAGCTTTAGGCATTTACTCTTTCTTAGTCATCTGGTTTTCTTCTACGGATATTATTATATTTTTGTTTTGTCCTCCTATCTCTGTTTCAAAAGTTCTCTGAAAGCCTGATTTATTGATACAAATATTAATGATCACCATTTCACACCGTTACTGTTCTTACCATTAATAAACAACAAATAATGCAATTTGGGAAAGATAAGCACCTCTGATAACAGAACAGCTTGATATAGTAGAAATGTTACCCATACAGAAATCAACAGATTTGCAGTATATGCTACCCCACATAGATAGAGAAGTCAGCTATTCAAGAATAAATTTATCCAAAACCTGTCTAGGTTGAAACAAAGTATTTGGCTACTCCAATTCATAGCTGCACAATGCATTCATTCTACTCAACCACCAGATGCCATCAGAGCCAGAGTAAGTAATCTTTTCAGCCATATCTTTACAGCAAACAGCTATTTTTTTTACATAATAAAATCCTGCAATATCATTTCTGCATGATTTTTAACTAGAAAAAAGAAATCCTAGCTGATGGGGTACACGGCCGATTTTGACAGGCCACCGAGAATAAAAGCCATCTCTACCTTGATGCATACAGAATTTTACACCACGGTAACTAATCCAAGACAATGAAATACAATAAAGAGGTTTTGATGTCAAGATCTCTCAGTAGTTTTCACTTCTGTTCATTTAGTAACCAGCAATGTCTGTGTTCAGAACTCAGGTGCCTTCCCTGCGCCTGTGAAACATCACGAGCCCGCGATCTTTTTTATTTGAAGCTGCAGCTGTTGGTGGGTTTGAGCAGCTCTGATCAAATGTGAGGTGAATAAAACTGATTTCCATGGTCCCTGCTACAGCTTGCAGATGATATAATGAATCTTCTCGAAACTTTTGAAGTTGCTTTCAAAGCTATATAAGCAACATTGCCAACATCTTAATTCATAAGCCACTCCTCTTTTGATGTTTGGTTTCCTGTGTCTTTTGAATTAGATCACGACTGTAACAACATGTCTTTTTTCCCTGTGTCTAGCTGACAGCCCCATAGCTTCAGGGGTTGAAGGTGACAGCCCTAAGCATGGTTTATCTCTGGGTATTTAGTGATCTGGTAAACACAGACTTAGAGAATTATGTCTACCACGATATGTTGTCCTTTAAAAACTGTCACTGCAGAAAATCCATAGAACAGCTGAGAAAACTGCAATGCATAATACGAGCTATAAATGTGAGCTATAAATACAACGCAGGATTTTCCTAATGCAACAAGTATGTCATTTACTTAGTACTGCATACAAAATACAAGTCCCAGTTTGTGTGTAAAATACACAACAGTGTGTGAAGGAACATGTACATTATAGGATCATTAAGTGCTATAATCTCATTTTATGACATGTGCGAAGCACTTTATTTCAGCTTACCACTCAGGATAAAACATCTTGCAAAAAGAGAGTGCATATTCAAATGTATTATACAAAGATGAAAAGACACACTCCTCTAGCCTACTAAATTGTTTAGTTATGCACCTAATCCCAATGCCAGAGAAAATTGCCATGGTAGGAGATGATTCATCCCAGAGGTAAAGCAGAGGAAGGGAACTTAGTCAACAAATAAAAATACATGAGACTTTCATGGCACAGGAAGGATAGAGTGGATCAGCTATAAGATACACTGAGACACAAACCTTCCTCAAATACTGCTATCATCCCATTGTGGTGACCACTTTACACACTTTCTATATCTATCTGACTTAAAAAGAGGAATGGTGTTGAGAAACAACAGGAAGATACAATGAAGGAGCCTGAGGAGTTTGAGTAAGCACCGGGAATGAATCCTGGTAAATAAGTCTTTGGGACCGAGAAATCAAAGAGTCAGGAAGCTGTGCTGGTGACAAAATAGTGTCTCCTGTTTGATTACTTTTGCTTTCAGTATAAGAATTTGGTTGTTATTTGTGACTAAAGAGGGTCACACCACACAAAGATATGAAAGCAACTACCTATTTCTAAGCCAAGATAGAAGAGGAACACAAACACTCATGTAGTTGTGAAGCCAGATGGAAGAATTTAGGTCGATCTAAATCATCTGAAACTTGCTTGAGTAGCAGTAAATTAAGAGGGAAAGAAGGCTTCACTTCCTCTTCTCTGCATTTTTGTTTCTGCTTTTGGAAAGCCCTGAGTCATATTTTCGGCTTTCCTCGGCAGTCAATTAAGCCTGAAAGGGAAATTCTTTTAAAAATGAAAGCTGAGATTCTTACATCATCAAGTGCCTCTAGCAAGTGAAGAAATATTGCAAGACTCACAAAAAAAAAAAAATTCCTAAAGTCATTTGATAGGAAATTACAAGAGATGTGAGACTTCTATAAATTCCATTCACAGGCTCAATTGTATTCCTATTCTTCCAAAAGTCACAATTTTCTAGACGGGAACTATTTCAAAAGATAAAAAAGTATCAGTCTCACTGATATTTTCAAGATAGTTTTCATTACCATGCAGTACTTATTTTATCTGTCTAGTGGCACATCATAGCAAGACTGTTTTATTTACTATCTCAACTGATGTGAGAGTTCTAAACAGTATTTTAGCAGTGCTGAAGAACAGTAAAGTGACAAATGTTAATTTATTCATCCATGTTACAGCAAGACATCAGAAAAAAAAATTGAAAAGGACAAAATTCAACAAACACTTGTTCATTTATTTGTGGGTATTTCCTGAATTCCCTAATAAGAAAAAAAATCGAGAATTGCAAGAGGAAAGTAAGATTTGGGAAGGAGTAAGCCTGAGAAAAAGAATCTTAGATTCAGTTCAGCCTAAATGGCGATGTGGTAGGGCAACAAAAATAGAGCTGGTACACCTATGGCCAGCTCTGTGAGCGGGCTGAGAGCACCAATCTATAAGGTTCTGCAACACACCAGGTGATGCTACAGCCCAGTAGCTGTCAAAAATGGGCTGATCACAAAAAAGAGTGCCAGGGGTTGTGGGGAAAGAGATTAAAAAAAAAAAAAGAAAAAAAATGTGAAAAAGGATCAGCAACAGAAAGCTTAAGAGGACTGAGCATAAATCTTTACAGAAATGTTAAGATTAGAGACTAAACAAGCAACAACTGAGCTAAGCAGGAACGCAGTTGTCCAGAAGTATTTGACGAGCTAACTGCTTAGGAAGAAGGGGAATTGTTTAGTCCAATACCTAGGGCTATAACAGCAAAAAATGGGATGAAATTAAGAGGGAAGATTTAGGCCAGATATCAGCAAAACATTGCAGCAGAGTTATTGTACTGTGAAATAATCTCCCAAGGGATGCAGCTGAAACCCCATTGTATGGGAAATTGAAAACTAGCTCCAATTAGAGCTAAAAACTTCAATGCAGCAAACAATACTGCCTCCGTGGAATGATGGGCTGGATTGACTTAATAGCCTTTTTTTTCCAATTTCTATTCTATTCAACTGTAGAATGCACAGTGTAAGACAGTTCTAGAGGAAGAATGTTTTTCTTAACAAAAGATACTGTTTTAGCTAAGTGTGCTGAAGTTTAAACATCTACTGCTCCACCAGTCGTTACTACAGTGTCTGAATATGCCACATGGACAAGGATATTTTTTACAAAGTGATCCTGGCCTTCAAAATTCTGTTTGATCTCCCATTTTAACAGCTGAAGCAGATAAAGTTGAAACTCCATCTGAAGAGATTATTAGGAACATTCATAATATATAGCAGCATATCAAAACCAGAACAATATTACTGCCAGTTTAAAAAATGGATGCAAAGTTTATCACACAAAAGCTAAAAACCCCTTAAAAAGATGGTGAACTTTAGCAGTTCCACACTTTTCAAAACTACTTGTGTACAAACAGTTTGCACAAAAGAGCTTGTAAATTTTTTTGCATTTTCATTCCCATCATGTGCCTGCTTTTTCTGCAATCCCTGGCTTTGTATCTGTGCAGGCAACTCTGGGTGACCACAGGAGCGATAAATCCACACAGAACACACATTTAGGGGAACAATCCTTTTGCATAACACGCACAAGTCGTGGTATGATTGCTGGATGCAGATTTTCCTCAGCCAGCTAAAACAGTTCACTAAGCTAAAAGATTTCACAAAATGAGAAGCAGCAATGAGACTTGGTACACATAGAATTTTTCATACACATATATGTAACTGATAATACAATTTTCTACTACTCTTCACACATGCCTCCTCTTCAATATTTTCCACAGCGCTGCCTGTGGCCAAACTCTGATCTGACTGAAACATGAGATACAATTTCAGATACAACTATTTTACACTATGCACGAGCAACTGAAAAAATAAGAAAACGTAGCAACTTCATCAAAATTATAAGAAATGCTTCACTTCTGTTTGCTTATGAAGCAAAGGACCTTTTTTATGATCTACTGACTGATTTTGAGTCCTGCTAATAGCTGCAATAGGAAGGAACTAAGCTGCATCTCCCCGAGAACAGAAAACAGTCTCGTATCTTGACAGCTGACCATATTCAGTAAGTGGTATGGTTTATATAAGCAGTATCACAGAAAAGCTCAGGTGGACTAAAATTTTTCTTAATATACACTTAGTTTAATAGAGAAACATCCTCTCTTTTGACAGTACATAAGGCTGCACATAAGTACACAGTGTGCATATTTGAAACTAAAATTCAGTGTAAATAAAACTCAAACCTGTAATATTTTCCTTTGATTTTAGTTAATTTTTATCTTCTTATATCACATATGTGTTGTGTTACAAACAGCACTAATAATAAAAGACCGATCCACCTGAAATATTCAGAAAATATATTCTGAATATATTTTATTCCTTTTCTAGCAACAGCTGCAGCAAGCTGTTGATGTGCAAAAATTGGTTTACCAAAGCAACACAGTATTTACCTGTCTCTGAATGGATTCAGAAGGCTCCAGGCTGCATTAACAGCTGTCTAGAATTCAAAACCTTTCAAGAGATCCAGTAAGTTGCAAATTTTACACTTGAGATATGTTTTAATAGTTCCTTACTGACGTACAGGGCGTGATAGAGGCAGGAGGTGTTACCGTGCCAGGGATGAAACTCTGAGCACATTTTCTGTATGTGGCAGCCATTCAGCCTGGAACAGCACTAGAAGCCAGGGAATATTATAACAATATCAAGACTTCAGCTCACATTAGCTACTTCTTGAAAAGCCACAAAAGCAGTGTGGACTTACATCCCCAGTTTCCTAGGAAACTTTTCTCTGTCTCCCTGGCTGCTCCAAGGTGTCTTGGAAGTATGCAGCTGCAGAAAGCATTTTTGAGCTGATGAGCTCTGACCAGTGCTGTTGGTCTCCCCAGAATCCTCCCCATGTCTGGAAACATCGGAGATTTCATGGGGCATGTTCATGACATTCATCCTGACTAGTTACTGCAGTCTACCAGATGCATTTAAATTATCTCTTGGAAATATGTGACATAAGGGCTGGTATAAGGTTAATATCAATTTCTTTAAATCAATCACTCAGGAAAATCTTGCCAGCTCTCTTGTGCTAAAGCTGAGCTCTCACTGTCTTCAGTAGGTATAGTTGGAGGATCCAAAGAGACCTGGCAGTAGCCTTGGGATATAGGAAGATGATTACATTCTCTTTGGCTTCTAGAAAGTGAATCCCATCATCTTCCCAGGAAATGAGAAAAGTTAAATGCATGGAAACTGCTGACACTTGCAAGAATTTGCACAACAGTTGTTTTCTGTTTTAAATAGAAAAGTCCACGGGAAGTCTGAATCCAGCAGGTAAACAACCAATTTTCAGAGCAATTATGCTTTTGCATATATACAGCAGCTTTCACCCAGAGCTCGAATTAACACCATGCTTGCATAGATTTAACACAGTTACAATTTTGGGTGTTTCTAACCAGGAATCTAAGACTAGACTTCTAGAAAGAAATTTTTGATGGACACAAGCAGGAAAAGTTTTGGTTTCATGGAACATCCAAAGCACAGGAGCTGCCACATTAGGGTACTCTACCACTATGTGCAAAAGGGTGAGTGTCCCTCAAATCAAGGTTTCTTGTGGTGGACAGTTCTCAACTATTATTTTCAGCTAATTATCATTCTGGCCTACCCCTCTCCTTAATATGATTTGCAAAGAAAGAGGATCAATTATTTTAATTTAAAATTATGTAATTTAGTAGTTTTGAGGCAGTAGTAACACAGATCAGTTTTGATGTTTGCACATATATAAAAACGTGCAGCTTTATGTTGCTAATACTGTATAATCACATTTATTCCCAGTAAAACCTTTGGGTTCCTACAGTAACAACGAGATACTACCCTAGCACTCCTAAAGGTAATGAGCTACCTTGCTAGGGTCAAACCTCACACCATTTTTTTTCTGTCATTAAAAAGCGTGGTACCTTCAGCACAGGGTCTACATACATTTACTCACAGAATCACAGGATGGTTGAGGTTGGAAGTAACCTCTGGAGGTCACCTTGTCCAAACCCCTGCTCAAAGTAGGCCCACCTACAGCCAGCTGCCCAGGACCACCTCCAGATGGCTTTTGAATATCCTCAAGGAGGGACACTCCTCACCCTCTCTAGACAACCTGGGCCAGTGTCTGACCACCCTCACAAGAAAACAAGGAGGATGAGTTTTTTTCCTGATGTTGAAACAGAATTTCCTGCGTTTCCTTTTGTGCCCATTGCTCCTCATCCCGTCACCAAGCACTGCTGAGAAAAGTCTGTATTAATAATAATTGGGTTTTCATGGTTTGGTTCCTTATTTGCCTCAGTTCTCACGTGATGTGAGGTTAAACTAAGGCAACACCTCAGTATGGGGCACAAAAACTTTACAAATAACAACTTGATTGGTATCAAATGAAATATTTTCTCTAAACCAAATATTTGGGCTTCAGTTTGGAGCAGTTTAACTCTAAAAAAAAAAAAGGCAAAAAAGGTAAAAGTGAAATCAGAAAAAAAACCAACAAACAAAACATTCACAGGGGATTTCAGTCCTAGTTAAAAAAAGGATCTATGAAGCTTTCCTTCTACAACTCTGGGGCTAAAGCCTTTCCTATCTGCTTTGTGTCTGCTCCTCCCAGCTACAGCTCTGAAAGCTCAGCCTGACCTGTGTCTTTCCTTCAGTTCCCCACTCCAAGTCCAATGCAACGAGTCAAAGAGAAGCTATGGAAGTGTGAAGCAAATGCAGAGCATGAAGAAGGAGATCAGCTTTCCCACTGAGAGTAAGCTGCGTCTAATGTTAGTTTCATTAGTCTTAAATCCAGGGATTTTAACAAATTAATCAATTGTCAAACGTGATGAAAGCAGCTGTGAATGAGAAGCTGTGTCCCTAAGAAAAAAATGAAATCATCTTTAATCCTTTTATTCCTCTTTTTTCTGCTTTTAAAATGAAGACACCACCACTCACCCCTACCTCACAAGTACATTATGAAAAAATGATGTGTTCAAACTCTAATTTAGCACAGACCAGATTCCTCAGAAAGACAACGTGGTTTGGACTAATTTATCCAAATTAAACATTATTTTCTCTTCTTCCTTAGGAGAGCTGCTCAAAATATGGCAAAAGTAATAATGCTGTAATCCTCTAAGGACACCTCTATACACAGGAATCTGCATTCTAATCCACTAGGCTGTGGAATCTATGCCAGCACACCTGCCCTTACCATGGAGGCACCCACCAGCAGCATTTCATGTATCTGACATCAGAGGTATTTAATGTTAAAAAAAGAAAGAAGCCTGTCAAAAAGCGATGGAGGAAAAGCTTTATCCCCATGTTTGCTGTAACTATATTTCCATCCCAATTAAACTTCCCTAAATACCCAGAGGAATTTCAAAGCAGTTTGCAGTGATTTAGCTGTGTAGCTCACACTGCCATTTCTGGGAGTCAGGATGATAAATCTCTTCACACTGCTCTGAAAGTTTCCCCAGCATGTTGGAGGCATGTTTCAAAGTCGGGAGAGCTCTGCTAATGAGACCTGCTCCCTTTGATGTTCCCGCTGGATGGCGGCTCTGGCACCAAATGAATATTTTAGATGTCTTATGCAAAAAAAAAAGTCAAACATTTTTCACCTTTGATAACCATACATCTTACTTTAAAGGCCTTACTTCTAAATATTAGGGATGAAAGGTGATTCTTTTATGTCCTTTTTGCCATTGAGAAGTAATGCTTGTGTAATTAAAAATGAATAATGTTTCACATTGGGTAACCTTAGTATACTTAGTCAACCAATGACATTGAGGTTAGAAATCAATATATACAGTTAAGCAGTGTTAATGTAGTGGATAGCTCATTTCTCAGTTAAAAGTATTTTAAAACCAACCACCTTCATTTTCATGTAGCCATTTGAAAAAGCCTATGGAGAAAATATCTGGAGTCTTAAGGAGATTAACCAGAGATTCTGCTGAGCCAGACTTCTGAATGCAAAGTTCAATTGACATGTCTGATCTTAGTGTCCTTAAGTACAGTGTTTGCAGCTCACAGCAAACAGGAAAATATAAAGAGAGAGAGAACATGAGGCACTGCTTTTCAATAATGCTAATCGACTTCCTCAGGATGCACTTGCAAAGGTTAGGGCAGAAAATATTCTGCCTCTTCTATGCAATTAGAGAGATATCAGAAATTTATAGCAAGGGGAAAAGCCTGAATAGACATAAATTTAAAAGCCCTACAGAGCAGGAAAATAATTTCCTCTGTTTCTGTTTTTGCCCCATATAACCAAACCTTCCCTTAGTTTTAGAAAAGAACGAGAGACCCCAAGGATTTGAGATGGTCATTTAAGATCTCTTTGCTCGTCTAAAAGGGTCTATGCCTTTGCTCATTCAAGAAAGTTCAGAGCTTGAAGAACTTGTACAATTTACATTTGGCAAATTTCCAGCAATGCATAGTGCTGCCAACAAACAAAAAAAACGACTGAATACTCAGCAGAAACCACAAGAGAAAGTTAAGGTAAAAAGCAACTTAATACTATTATCCAACCTGGAGTTTGACAAGAACACAAGAGTCCCAAATTAAACAGAATTTCAAAAAAGAAGTCTGTATCATCTGACATCTGGAACAAGAAGCTTAAGCATTGCAGCAGCAGTGCAGTGCAATCACAAGACTAAGGCACTGAGCAATAATGAATTTTAGTACACTTGAGCAGCAGGAAATAAACATAAAAATGGAAGACATTCCCTAAAAAGTATTAGAACCTTTTTCTTGGATTCTTACACATTTCAAGACATCAGAAATTGAAATTAAATTTAAAAAAAAAACCAAAAAACATGTTTCACAGGACCTTGTGCAGAGCCAAATTTTGGCACAGATGTCCTGCGTAGGGCCAGGAGCTGAACTCGATGATCCTGATGGGTCCCTTCCAACTCAGCATATTCTATGATTCAGAAGAACTTTGCTTTGAGTGAGAGCAATTGGGAATTCTTTGAATCACAGGAGCTAAAGTGGGGAAATCCTCCTACCCTGCTTGAACCTTCAGTACTGCATCAAAAGCCTTGGGTTTTATCAGTATATAAGACATGAAGCTGGCCAAGTTAAACTCAGGAGCTACACAATGAAAACACTGTGATTTTCAGTATACATGAAACGAAAAAGACCCTATGATTGTCAGCATATGTTTTATTTACCACTTGTTCCCTCCTTTCAGCCATCCATTCCGATGCAGACTATAAATACACGATCTGTTATTTTTTTCCCCAAAGATTTTGATTCATTCAGTACACAAACACCTGCTAAAGAAAAATTCAGCCCTAACAGTTAACATCTGGCAACAGTTTACACAACTGACAATGGAGTTAAGCTCAAAATAGAGCAACAGCTCAACCTGAAATCCATGTAAATTATTGTATTGTGATTAGCATCAAGAAGACAGTAAGGTTTAAAAAAAACAGTCTGAGACAAAGCTGCACACACAACAGATAATATGCATGAAGTAGTACTGCTAATCAGAATGAAGACTTTTTCTACTGAAACCAATAACATTCATTAATATTAATATCATAATGGGAAAAAAGTGCAATGTTAGAAAAATCAAGAAACTACAGTAAACAAAAGTTAAACTGCTCT